AATCTCTGAAGGTGAAAATCGTAATTGGTTACCATTATGGAGATCAGTGTAGAGATCAGAGATCAGTCTTTAGTTGGGCTCTTGAGCCTTACATTAACTTTAGGTTTTGTTCGACTGTTGTATCTCAGTTAAAACAGTCAGATGAACAATTAAAAAACATACAAACTAATAGTTTTGGTTATATTGTGACAATCGTCATTTGAATTTAGTATTTGTGATTTATTTTGTTGGTTACAGCATAACTGAGATTCTGCACAGATATCCAGAATTTATAATGTAAAGGATTTCTTAAAAGTTGTAAAAAAAAAAAAAATCTTTGTTGAAGGCACACACAGACCTCAAGATTCAGTCAATGCTTCTCAACAACGGTGACGAGCAGAATATTCAATTAGGAAAAGTAACTTACATAGACAATTCAGATCATAATTTATTCATACCGCAATGCATGATGGGAGCCATTAATGAGTTGTGATTGGTGGCAACAAGGATTATGTGGTCACCACGGTTGAGATTCACAGGCTGATTATTGATGTCTGTGTTTCTATATAAATGCATTTGAAAGTGATTTGATCAGAATAATTTATATTAAATATTTTGGAATATCAGAAAAATATTGATAATCATATGCTTTATAATCACTAAAATGCTGCTATCAAGTTAAACCAAATAATATGAAACAGATCACAGCATGATTATGCCAAAACACAACCTACAATCTCAGATCACACTTTTCTTTGTTCATTTGACTGTTATAAATTAATAACAGCAGTCAAACAAAGTTTAAAGTGAAAGTAAAAGTGTCAAGAGCCCAACTAAAGCAGACACTGATCTCCATAACGGTGACTTACAATTTGTGATTTTGTCCTTCAGTGATTCTGCTTGTGATCATCAGGTGTCTTCAATAATGCTCAATCATCACTAAATTAATCACTTAATTATCTCATTAACTTTAACATTCTTGAGTGTTAATTTAACACTCGTATCGTCCATCTGAAAGCAGGTGAAGGTGATTTCAAGGAACCGGCTTCACTGATTAGACGAGCATAACAATATCGTGCAATATGTCGTCCAGGCCTAGTTACAGGTTTTGTTTTTTGAAAATAATTTGTCAAAATAATTATTATATTCAAATACCTCAGTGACTCAGGCTTTTTCATGATGATTATAAAACCATCACCAGGTAATCTTCATCAACTGATTCAGTTAAACTTTGTTACTGTAAATGTGTCTGACAAACACACTGTCACAGCAGACAGAAGAGATCAAACATATAATAAGTGTAAAGAGCCTGTCTAATGGAAACACTAATCACTGTTATGGTGACTTTAAATGAAACCGAGATAAACCTCTGTTAATTTTCAATAAAATCTTCTGTAGAAGTCTGACAGAAATAAAGTCAGTCTGGTTAGTAATAAGTGAAGCTGGCAATGCTGTTTGTGGAGTTGTTTAATCCTCCTCTGCTGAGATCTTCAGATTTAATGTCTTCTCTTCAGGTGATTTCATCTAAGACTGTGTCGTCTCCTTTTCTGTTCTCTTCAGAGGAGTAAAGTCCAGGTTCAGAAAGTAAAAGTCCGCCTCAGTATTTTGTTCCAATCACCTGGATTTGCTTATTAGCAGTTTTTCAGCCAGGAGACAGAAATCAGCCCTAATCAACTGTCAATCCGTTCATGGCTGAAAGTAAGACATGGCAGAATTTCTACTTTCTACTTCTACTTTATACAACTCTGCATTATTTGTTGTATTAAAATGTAAGTTCTAAAGAATGATTTCTCAAGAAATTAAAATCTGAAGCTATGGCATGTGTTTCTTGTAGGAAATAAAAATCTGTCTTGAAAGTTTTACAGAATAAAAATACAACTTTCCTCTGAGTCTGTTCTCGTATACCCCTCACATTAAGAGAATAAAATGATAAACAGAACAAGTTCACTAAAAATAAAAGAGAAAACCTTGAGTTCTAGATGTAACAAAGAGGGAAAATGATTTTCTTCACCTTTTGAAAACTGATCAGAACAAGCAAACTTGGGATTATAAATCTGACCTTTGACCTGTCAAACATTAAATATAACAGCACATCACTAAATGTATTTAGAGTACAACTGAACTTCTCATGAAAGTCCACAGGCAACTTCACTTTTAGATCGCATCAGAGCTGTCATTACATGTGTGCTTCTTTACCCTCAATGATGGCTCTGGCTGTGATGAAGAAGGCTCTTCTCCCTCGCTTCTTCCTCTTCAATCTGCGGCAGTTCACAGTTTAGTACGAGTCTCTTTGTCTTTCCTGGTCAAATCTTCGCCCAGTTTTAACTTCTTTATTTTTAGGAATTTCCACATTTCCAAACCTTTTCTTTGGTGGATCTTAATGCAGATCTTGTTCTCAGTGGTGGAGTTTTCCCATCCTCTCTCCTCTCGATCCTGTGTCTTACTTCAGTTTGGGAGTGGAGATCCTCTTCAGGGTCTTGAATGACTCTTACAGATGTCAATCACACGCTGTTTAACATCTTCTCCTTCCTCTGGCAAGACATACAGCCTCAAGTTCCTTCTGTGATAGCGTCCATTTCATTCAATCTTGTTCCAGGCCTGTGATTCTCTTCTGATGGTCATCACTTGCAATTTAACCGTTTTTATTTCTGTTTTCATGTCTTGAAGAGAAACTCTGATGATTCCTTTAAAGCTTCGACTGTGTCCGCATTTTTCTTTATCAGGCCTGCAAGATTGTCCATGTTCTCTTTTATTTTTTCAGCTACAAGCCTCACGATGTTATCCTGCAGTTTGGAGAGTGTAGGTTCAACTTTACCTTTCTTTGCGACTGGAGCGACGGAGCGGACTCAGGAAGATGGACAATTCCTCTGTGGAAATTAGTGTAGGTGTGCATATCACCGGCTTTGACAACTTCCAGAACATCCTCAGTCACTTCTCTGTTCTCAGTGGTGAATGAAAGTGTCTTGTTTGTCTTTTTCCTCGATCTCTCGGCCTTTTGTCTGTCATCGTTTTTTTAAACAACTAGATAGTCATGCTTGAAAGGGAGTCCAAATTGTCCTGTTATGAAGACAGCAATATAAAGATATATTTCCAGTTGTTTGCACAGATCAGATTTACCGTTTAAGGTGAGAAAATCATTTATCTTTGTTTATCTTTGTACCATCTTGCGCCCCAAGGCTGCATCCTCTGAAGGCCGTATTCGAAGGCCGGTTGCTCATCGCGGCGTGACGAAGGCGATCCTGATTCAAAAGCGACGCCAAATTCGTTTCCCCGTGAGAGAGAGGACACATAAATGGACCCTTAGCGGCCTTTCCTACCCCATAAGTCATCGCGCCGCTGATAACAGCATTTTTATTTGAAAAAATGGCGGCCGAGAGTACGGTGGACGATGGCAAATTCACATTTAAATGTAAGTATTATGTTTTCATTTACTTCAATACCTAGCGAAACCAGAGTTAAAAGTCATAAGTTTTTCTTTCTTTTAAAATTCATCTTAACTCCTTCATCAGCGAGGCTTCATTTGTCAGGTGGTTTGAGGCAAAACTTGTGATAATAGTTATTTAATCGTGTTTCAGGGAGCAAGGAGCAGACAAAGCAATTTATTAAAAACTGAAAATGACCATTTATTTACCGGGGGCCAAAAACTCCTCCAGCGTGGCTTGGAGAAAAGACAACAACCTGTGTGTAATATTTGCAGTAGTCTGTCTCACTTGTGTATTATAAGAAATATCACTCACCCTATAAAGCCCACAACAATAAGAAAAGCATTGTCTCATGGCAATGCGGTTTCACTTTTATGTGTTTGTGTAGTGCTGTCATGCAAGCTGTGTCTGAAGGACTGCAAGTGTCCTGGGACAGGTGAGGGTGTGTGTGGGAAACACACTGCTGAAACTTGGCCCTGATTTGTCCTCATGGATGAGGTGTTGGGACAGAGCCACTCCTCGAAGTTCAATTAAATGACGTATTTTATGAATTTTTAAATGAGAAAACTAAGTTGTGTACAGTTTATTTAAATGAGATGATGGACATTATTTTTGCTCCATTTCTGTGCATTGCTCATTTTTAACAATTAACTTGATGTGCTGGGATATGAAATAAAAAGGACATTGATTATTTAATGATAAGTGCAATTTGCAAAAAACAAAAAACAACAAAAAACACTTCAATATATATATATATATATATATATATATATATATATATATATATATATATATATATATATATATAGTCATATAACATTTGAAAATTAAAATAAATACTTATATAGATACATACGGGTTTAAAACTATTCACAACTTATATATCATCTGAAAAAAAAAAAATAAATCAATTCATTTTTTTAAAACAGCTTTAATTCATTTCATAAGACACCATATATGATGATACATTTGTATTAAATCATAAAACATAGAATCAAGAAAAATATAATATAATAAAAATCAAACTTTAGGAGAAAAAAATGTTGGTGCCTAAATTAAAAGCTTACTCTGTGAAGTTTAGTTGTGAACAAACAGATTAGTTAACTACATTAGTTAACATTAACTAAGAATGACCATACTTCTTCAGCATTTGTTAATCTTTGTTAATGTTAATTTCAACATTTACTAATACTTTATTAAAATTGTTAACATTAGTTAATGCACTGTGAACTAACATGAACAAAACAATGAACAGCTGGATTTGTATTAACTAACATTAACAAAGATTAACAAAAACAGTAACAAATGTATTGCTCATGGTTAGTTCATGTTAGTAAATACATTAATGTTTAATAAATGAACCTTATTGTAAAGTATTACCCAAAAGGATTGGATATAATAAATACAAACCTCAGGATGTCAGTCATTTGCAATATCCAGCATCTTAGATAATAGTCCAGAAACAGGGAATATAGCAGATGCACTGTTGAAATGTCTAAAGAGGTTTTAAACAGGATTTAGAGATATATGTTGTATAATATCCCGCTCCAGTGCAGTAGGTGTCAGTGTGACACTGTTCAGCTGTTCCAAACCCTCCTGTAAAACACACGAAGAACAGCAAAACGAAAGGAACACCTGTCCACATCTAAACCTGTCGCTCACTGGATTTGATTTCATCTATGATTCAGAAAACATGTCTATAGATGTCGATTTAGCACAATGCCCACCAAATCTAATAACACTCGCGGACATTTATGTGTTTAATCCACAATCCATCGAGACCAGCAAGAGATTCTGAGAACGACGCGCGCGGACTGACAACAAGCGTTACTGAGTTTAAAATACTGATAAATTCTCTTCTTAGTGGACAAGACTGCAAGTAAGTTTATTACATTCTCCATTACGGTCATTTTTTTATTAATAAGAACTTCATATTGTATATTAAGCGAGATTTAAATGTGAAGTTACAGAAGGCTGTTCTTCTGCTACTCTGAACAAAAGAAGAATCTGCCAGAAATGACAATCTTTTGAAGTAAAAACACAAAAACTTTTATTGAGAAAGGGCTATTGAAAACAAAAATGTTTTTGAAAGTTTTCTCCCATTTCCTCTTCCGTGTTAGGCTGTTTTTTTTATGTGAAATCGAAAGTATTTTTGAAGCAGGCATTTACAGTAGACAGACAGATGAAGCCTAACGTCAATCAACAACAATCTGCTGTTCAGTTCATATAGCAATTATGATTAGTAGTATTACAGTATGTATATTATAATTTAGGTTACTTTTACTTAATCAGTTATTTTAGGATAATTTGAAAGTAATGAAATCAATGATTTTTGTGAACTTGAATATGTTTGTAAAATGATATTATAATAGAAAATATGTCAAATTGAGTTCAGTTTTCCAGCACAGTGTACATTTCTGTTCCCCAATGAATTCATATTTAGAGTCAGTTAAACTCATTAAACAATCAGAAATTATTAAGACCATTCGGTTAATTTACATGGCAATATATTTGTTTGTAACTCACTTTATTTGATATATTGTTTTTGCTGTTGTTGATGATAACTCTTCATTCTTCAATAAGATGTTGTTGATGTGTGTAAATGTTGTGATTTGCAGGTGATGCTGAAGGATTGAGTGTTTTCTGATCAGTTTTCAGGGTCAGTTTAGCTGCAGTATGTCAGAGGAAAGAGGAAAGGACTCTCTCTCTCAGATGAGTCTCTCAGAGAAACACAGGTGAGACTGCGTCTGTTTTCACACTCTCACTTTAAACTCCACTGGACTTTGTGTTTCCCTGTCAATAGGGCTGGGCGATATATCGCACGATATTGTTATGCGCATCTAATCAGTAAAGCCGGTTCCTTGATTAGCAGTAAATCACCTTCACATGCTTTCAAATGGACGATAAGAGTGTTAAAGTTAATGAGATAATTAAGTGATTAGATTAGTGATGATTGAGCATTATTGAAGACACCTGATGATCACAAGCAGAATCGCTGAAGGACAAAATCACAAATTGTAAGTCACCGTTATGGAGATCAGTGTCTGCTTTAGTTGGGCTCTTGACACTTACATTTTCACTTTAAATTTTGTGTGTCTGCTGTTATTGATTAATAACAGTCAAATAAGACATCTTTGATCTTATAGTGTTGGTAATGTTTTGACATAATCATGCTGTGATCTGTAAAATGAAACTTTTCAGATGATTTGGCTTGACTTGTTAGCGAGATTTTAGTGATTGTACTGCATATCTGTATTTTTCTTTTAACATAAATTAATTAATAAATATTATTCTGATTCAATCACTTTCATGCTTATTTAGAAACACAGAGATCAATAATCAGCCTGTCTATCTCAACTGTGGTGGCGATATTAATCATTGTTTCCACCAATCACAACTCATTAATGGCTCCCATCATGCATTGCGGTTTGAATAAATTATGATCTGAATTGTCTATGTAATTTACTTTTCCTACTTGAATATTCTACTCGTCACCGTTGTTGAGAAGCATTGACTGAATCTTGAGGTCTGTGTGTGCCTAAAGGAAAGATTTTTTTCTTTTAAGCAACTTTTGAGAAAACTGTCTATTATAGTTAACATTCTGGACATTTATTCAGAATTTAAAGTCATACACTAAGCAACAGAATAAATTATATGTTATATATTTTATAAATAAACTTTATTATAAAATTTATATATATATATATATATATATATATATATATATATATAAATTTCAAATGATAAATGTCATTATATGACAAATCATTTTATTACTGTTCATTTTTGTTCATCTGATAGATATAACTCAGATGCAACAGCTAATTAAAATATAAAGTTAATATCATAAGGGTCAAGAGCCCAACTAAAGCAAACACTCATCTCCATAACGGTGGCTTAAAATTTTAGATTTTTTCCTTGTGATTCTGCTTTAGGTGTCTTCAATAATGCTCAATCATCACTCATTTAATCACTTAATTATCTCATTAACTTTAACACTCTTGAGTGTGGACTCATATACACTCCCAGGTGTGTTAGTTTAACACGGGAGATTTTGTCCTGACGAAGAGCCGTAGTTCACTGACCAGCTGAGCCATATCGCATTAAATATCGATATCGATATGTCCTCGATATTAACGCGATATGGCTCAGCTTGTCAGTGATCTACGGCTCTTTGTAGTGAATGCCGCTCCATCTGAAAGCAGGTGAAGGTGATTTACTGCTAATCAAGGAACCGGCTTTACTGATTAGATGTGCATTCAATATCGTTCGATATATCGCCCAGCCCTACCTGTCAATAACACAACTTTAAACATTGCTCTATATTTACAAATGCTTTGAACAACTTAAATTTTAACTTCTTAAATTAAAAGTGACATTATTTATAAAGCCCTGTTTGGTCTATAGAAAATATCACAGTTAATAATTTGTTAATAACCTTCTGACGCTGAAGTAATCCAAATAAATGAATTTAGCATTTAGATCATAAAATTATTGACAGATATTAGAAAACAACTTCACTTACAGGTCCTTCTCAAAAAATTAGCATATTGCGATAAAGTTAATTATTTTTCATAATGTAATGATAAAAATTAAACTTTCATATATTTTAGATTCATTGCACACCAACTGAAATATTTCAGGTGTTTTATTGTTTTAATACTGATGATTTTGGCATACAGCTCATGAAAACCCCAAATTCCTGTCTCAAAAAATTAGCATATTTCATCTGACCATAAAAAAGAACTGTTTTTAATACAAAAAAGTCAACCTTCAAATAATTATGTTCAGTTATGCACTCAATAGTTGGTCGGGGAATCCTTTTGCAGAAATGACTGCTTCAATGCGGCGTGGCATGGAGACAATCAGCCTGTGGCACTGCTGAGGTTGTGGAGGCCCAGGATGCTTCGATAGCGGCCTTAAGCTCATCCAGAGTGTTGGGTCTTGCGTCTCTCAACTTTCTCTTCACAATATCCCACAGATTCTCTATGGGGTTCAGGTCAGGAGAGTTGGCAGGCCAATTGAGCACAGTAATACCATTTACCAGTGGTTTTGGCACTGTGAGCAGGTGCCAGGTCGTGCTGAAAAATGAAATCTTCATCTCCATAAAGCTTTTCAGCAGATGGAAGCATGAAGTGTTGGATCTAATTTTAGGACCTAATGCCCTAACTAGGGTTGGGCGATATATCGCACGATATTGTTATGCGCATCTAATCAGTAAAGCCGGTTCCTTGATTAGCAGTAAATCACCTTCACATGCTTTCAAATGGACGATAGGAGTGTTAAAGTTAATGAGATAATTAAGTGATTAATTTAGTGATGATTGAGCATTATTGAAGACACCTGATGATCACAAGCAGAATCGCTGAAGGACAAAATCACAAATTGTAAGCCACCGTTATGGAGATCAGTGTTTGCTTTAGTTGGGCTCTTGACACTTATACTTTCACTTTAAATTTTGTGTGTCTGCTTTATTATTGATTAATAGCAGTCAAATAAGACATCGTTGATCTTATAGTGTTGGTTATGTTTTGACATAATCATGCTGTGATCTGTAAAATGAAACTTTTCAGATGATTTGGCTTAACTTGTTAGCAAGATTTTAGTGATTGTACAGCATATCTGTATTTTTTTTCTTTTAATATAAATTTATTAATAAATATTATTCTGCTTATTATACTTTCATGCTTATTTAGAAACACAGAGATCAATAATCAGTCTGTCTATCTCAACTGTGGTGGCGAAATTAATCCTTGTTGCCACCAATCACAACTCATTAATGGCTCCCATCATGCATTGCGGTTTGAATATATTATGATCTGAATTGTCTATGTAAGTTACTTTTCCTACTTGAATATTCTACTCGTCACCGTTGTTGAGAAGCATTGACTGAATCTTGAGGTCTGTGTGTGCCTAAAGGAAAGGTTTTTTTCTTTTAAGCAACTTTTGAGAAAACTGTCTATTATATTTAACATTCTGGACATTTATTCAGAATCTAAGTCATACACTAAGCAACAGAATAAATTATATGTTATAAATTTATAAATAAACTTTATCATAAATGTTGTGTATATATATATATATATATATTATATTTATATATATAATTACATAAATTTCAAATGACAAACGTCATTATATGACCAAAATCATTTTATTATTGTTTATTTTTGTTCATCTGATAGATATAACTCAGATGCAACAGCAAATTAAAGTATAAAGTTAATAATATAAGGGTCAAGAGCCCAACTAAAGCAAACACTCATCTCCATAACGGTGGCTTAAAATTTGAGATTTTTTCCTTGTGATTCTGCTTTAGGTGTTTTCAATAATGCTCAATCATCACTCATTTAATCACTTAATTATCTCATCAACTTTAACACTCTTGAGTGCGGACTCATATACACTCCCAGGTGTGTTAGTTTAACACGGGAGATTTTGTCGTGACGAAGAGCCGTAGTTCACTGACCAGCTGAGCCATATCGCATTAAATATCGATATCGATATGTCCTCGATATTAACGCGATTTGGCTCAGCTTGTCAGTGATCTACGGCTCTTTGTAGTGAATGCCGCTCCATCTGAAAGCAGGTGAAGGTGATTTACTGCTAATCAAGGAACCGGCTTTACTGATTAGATGCGCATAACAATATCGTGCGATATATCGCCCAACCCTAGCCCTAACAGACCAATCACAGATCAGTGCCAGTGCGTTTGATTTCACCAAAATATGGACGACAGTACTGACGACAGTACTGAAGACTGATGCATTATGGATAGGGTTGGGTACCGAAACGCGGTGCCAATAGGGAACCGGTTCCGACTTAAACGGTAATAACCAGACCGAATAAGAATGAAAATCTCTGTGTCACGAGGTGCACACTCGCTCTCTCACTCTCCGCAGTGCGTGCATTATACGGTTTGGAGCACAGTCTGATCTGTCTCGCATGCACACTCTTGCTCACTCGCTCTAGATTCCCGGAGATTTTAACTACAGTAATTTGCGGGCATCAGGGAGTCGTTATCAATATGCGGGAGACTCTTGGCGAGGGGATTAATGAAGATGCCGAAGACAAAACGCTCCAAGGTTTGGCTGCATTTCACGTGTAAAACTACGCATCAGAGTAATTGTGGCGATTGAAGCCCATATAGAATCACGCCAGTTCATTGACTGATGGGGCGGGCGCCGCCTTGACGCTCTTACATCGTCATATTATATTAGCATGCATTATCTGATTTCATTGTGCGAAATGATTTCCAGGCGGTAGCGTAGAGTGGAGCTCAACTCTAGTCTACATTGATGGGTGGAGTAGTGGGAGTAGGGCTGAAACGATTAGTCGACATTGTCAACAACATCGACAATACAAAATTGTCGACAAATGTCGTTGTTGTCGAGTAGTCGTTTTATCTCACTTGACCTAATGTAAGGGCGTGCAATATCGCGATTTGACCGCTACGGCGCTGTGGCGCTAGAGTGTTATGCGGCCCTTTTACAAATGCTATTGCGGTAAAAGAAAAAAACAGTGCAAACGAATCCGAACTAGCAAGGTTTGGGAAAGTTTCACAAAACTTAAAGCCAACAGTGCTGTCATGTGCAATACATGCAAGGCAGAACTTGCTTTTCACGGGAGCACAACATGGTAGTGATGGCCGGTTCGTGAACGAATCGTTCTTTTGAACCGGTTCTTTTTAGTGAACCGGTCGAACCAGTACACTTAATCGGACTGAATCGTTCGAAACAGTTCGCGTCCTGCGTCAGCACTAAACCACAAGTTACTAAGGTTACTCACTTTCAGACATGCCTGACAGTCCCTCCGAATCGAAATAAACCAATATCCAGAAGTAAATTTTATTCCAGTAACTCAAAAAGTTCACTGAACGGAGACATATGTTGGCGCTGAGAGAAGTGATGAGCACGAGCAGCTGATACTGCGCATGCGTGTACTACCGAACATACAGGTACAGCGGTCGGATAACCAGTACAGAACCGAGAACTGTTTCTTTCGGACACGTTCGACATACTGAGAACTGATGAGTTGATGAGCTGAGCATGCGTGCATTTTTTTTCTGAGGGACGAAATGTACGTTTCCATGTCTTTAGTTGAACATCAGTAAGTGTAACAAAATAAAACATTTTGGAAACATGTTTATCACATAATTACTGTATTATCACTGTATTATTTTGACGATTGGAAACAATGATTGGATTCTAAAACTCAAACTACTAAACATTTATTATTATACTAAAATAATATTTTCAGCTTAGAAATTAAACAGCTCGTTTAATTTCTAAGTGACAATATAAATCTTTAATGTAAACTCTTTCCAAGGTTTTAATGGTGCACTGCTTAGTAAATGTTTATAATGTGTTAACATAACGAATTAAACATTTAATTCGTTATGTTAACACATTATAAACATGATGTATATATACTGTATAGGCTGCAGAAGGCTATATTAGAGACAGACATGCATCGATTTTTTTTAGTTTTGTCGACTGTATATTCAAGTTTCAGCTCAGCACACACAGGCCTATGCTATGGTTCTCGAGTCGAGAACTGGTTGTTGCAGTTCTTGAATCACTAGTACAGAACCGAGAACTGTTTCTTTCGGACACGTTCGATACTGAGAACCGATGAGCTGGAGATACTGCGCATGCGTGATAGCACCGTCTCTGAACAGAACTTTCTTTCGGCCGGCTGATCCTGTGCTGATACATGAGCACGCAGTAGTACGGGTGAACCCAGGACTTAAATGAGAGGGCGAATCGGCGAAATGTAAGTTTATTTAATAACAAATAAAATGATGAAGACCATTTATGCATTTTATATATTTAAAACATGTAAAACATCCGCGTTAGCACCTAGGCTGCAGCAGGGTTCGTTTTCAAAATGTAAATGTAAGAAACGTATCCAAGATGATTATGAGGATGCGTACTATTATTTGACTGAAGTTATGATTACAAATGCCTTTAATTTAAAGTATTTTTATCCGCCGGTATGATAGAATTGACGTCATTACGTGATGACGTAAAAGAACTGGTGAACCGGTTTTTTGAACCGGTTCATTAAAACGAACTGTCCGAAAGAACCGGTTCGCGGAAAAGAACCGGACTTCCCATCACTACAACATGGATGTTGGAGCACTTAAAGAGAAACATCCAAAAGAGGAGCCGGTGAGAAGTGAGTGTTCTCCAGCTGGAGCTAACGGTAAATCTCTTTATTAGATAATGCAATACTACTAATAATATTAATAATATTATCAATACTTATATAATTACACTAATGTGTAATTTTGCATATAAAGCTTGATCGAGCTTAGGAGTCCTGGCTGTTTTTATTATTGTAACACTACTAGGTAGTCTTATCACTCGCCTGCATTTTGTTCCATAATAATGAAGACTTACAAAAGATGTTAGGAAGAATCTCATGGCAGTTACTTTTTCTTTTTCATACTGTAAATTAAAAGGTAAATGAGAACGTCCTTGTCAGCTCAATTGTCATGTAAAAAAAAAAATAATAATTTTAATTATTTTTTTAAATAATTTTTTACTTCATAATAATATAATAAAGGTTTGCAGATTAATATTTTACCATTTTTTTGTCCTGAAGTAAATGACCCTTTTTCTGTTTCAGTTCTAAGAAAAGCAGTGGGCCTATTAAACAACGCTTAGAGAGCATTTGATCTTTTGGATGTGATTTGAGTTGGACCAGAATCTGAAACTTAAAGAGGAATTACCCTTTAAACTATAGACCATTTTGCAAGATGTAAACAACACTGGTCCAGAAGCACTTCCTGTTTCAGTTCTTTAACACTACATAAAAGCTGGGATAAAATACAACCAACAGAACATGTAAAACTGAATTAAAAAAGTTAAACAACATCTTTAAGATGTTTTCTTTACATGTGAAATAAAGAAAACAGTTACAAACTGAAACAGGAAGTGTTTCTGGACCAGTGTTGTTTACAGCTTGTGAAATGGTCAATAGTTACACATTATAATGTGAGCCAGTAAATAAAATGATGGTTAACTATAAAACTGTAAATTGTGTGAGTGTGTGTGTTTCTGTGGAGGATTAGATAAAGACACAGATGTGTTTCAGACACAGTTGATCCTCCTTTACTAAAGTGTTTTCTCTCTCTCTCTGTTCTTTGTGTCATCAGTGTAAGATCAGGCTCACATGTGTCCAGCTCTGTGTCTCTGAAGAGTGATTGCTCTAAAGGTGATGTACCAAACTTCAGTGAGAAAACACCATCATCTAATAAAAGGTATTTTGTTTTGCTCATTGTGTGTCACGTGTTGACTGTTTAAAAGTTATATCAGTGAATACCAATCATGAAACACGAGTATTCACAGCTAATGCTTATTTCTCTTTCTGTAAAATATCAGTTAGTATTTTATTTTACTAATGTGATTACAGGCTTCAATATGAGACATTAGACTCAGACCTTCAGACTCACAGGAACCACAAGAATTTCAAAGACAATCTTCTTGGGATCTTCCAGGTAGGAAAACACATTTTATAAATGTTTAATATTTCTAATAAACAAATCTGTTTTTGAAAAAAAAAAATGTAATTACATTTTTTTTCCTCTCCTTTTTTCCTTTTAAACACATTTTAGTACAACTTGGTTATCATATCATGTCTTGAACTGGATTTTTCTATGTACATGTATTATAATTATTTAATGAAGAGTGTTTACAAAATGTAGATCTACAATTTAGCTTAAATTATGTTATACTGTCTTATCTCTTTCTTACTTTGTTTGTAGGATCTTGAGAGGAAAATAATCACATTTCTGAAGAATGAACTGGAGAAGTTAAAGAAAATATTACAACATGAGAACACACAACACTTTGTGAAGGACTTTAATGAGAACAGATCCAGTATCAGAGAAGCCGCTCTTGATCTCACACTACATTACCTGAGAGAGATGAAGCAAGATGAAGCTGCTGATGCTCTAGAAGGCAAGAGACTCGTGATCATCTGTCTGATTGTCTCTTATAAATGTAGGAGAGAAAATGAAGACAAACTATCTATTTTCTGTTCCTGTGTTTAGGTGAGCTGTTCTTCATTCATCAGCTGAAATGTGGCCTAAAGAAGAAGTATCAATGTGTGTTTGAAGGAATGGCGAAGCAAGGTGACGCCACACTCCTGAATAACATCTACACAGATCTCTACATCACTCAGGGTGGCAGTGAACAGGTCAATACTGAACATGAGGTCAGACAGATCGAAGTTGCTTCCAGACGTCATGAAGCACAAGAGATACAGGTTAAATGCACACATTTGTTTGAAGCGCCTGAACAAGACGAGGAGATCCGAACTGTACTGACAAAAGGAGTCGCTGGCATCGGGAAATCAGTCTCTGTGCAAAAGTTTGTTCTGGACTGGGCTGAAGGAAAAGAAAATCAAGATATCAGCTTCATATTTCCTCTTCCATTCAGAGAGATGAACTTAAAGGAGAAAGAAAAACTAAGTTTGATGGACCTTATAACTCAGTTTTTCCCAGAGACAAAAGGACTGAACCTTACAAGAAGGAATCAGTTCAAAGTGCTGTTCATCCTTGATGGACTGGACGAATGTCGCCTTCCTCTGAAGTTTGATTGTAATGAGACGTGGCGTGATGTATCGTCACCAGCCTCTCTGGATGTTCTCCTAACGAACCTCATGAAGGGAAATCTGCTTCCTTCTGCTCTCGTCTGGATCACCAGCAGACCAGCAGCTGCCAGTAAGATTCCTCCTGACTGTATCGACCGGCTGACAGAGATACGAGGATTCAGCGACGCACAAAAGCAAGAGTACTTCAAAAAAAGATTCAAGGATGATATTCAAGCCAACACAATCATAGATCATGTTAAACAATCAAAGAGTCTCTTTATCATGTGCCACATCCCAGTCTTCTGCTGGATTTCAGCCACTGTTCTCCAGAACATTCTGGAGGAGAAGAGAAATAATGATGTGAGAAACACTCAGGCTGATGAGATCTCTAAAACACTGCAGGAATCAAACACTGAAGACACTCCCAAGACTCCGACACAAATGTACACACACTTTCTCCGCTTTCAGATCCAGCAGAGCCGCCGGAAATATGATGGAGAATACACACCAGATGTTTCCTGGGATAAAGACGCCATCCTTTCACTGGGGAAACTGGCATTTCATCAGCTGGAAGAAAACAACCTGATCTTCTATGACACAGACCTGGAAGCCTGTGGTCTTGACGTCTATAAGGCATCAGTGTACTCAGGCATGTGTACCCAGATCTTTAAGGAGGAAACAGGGATCGTTCTTGGTACCATGTACTGCTTTGTTCACTTGAGCATTCAAGAGTTTATTGCAGCCCTTTATGCACATCTGTTTCTAGACATCAACAAGACAAGTGTGTTTGATCATGAGTCTACAGAACAGGAAAACAGAAATGAAACCATGATTGATTTTCTCAAGACTGCAGTGGACAAGGCGCTGGAGAGTGACAATGGACACCTGGACCTTTTCCTTCGCTTCCTCCTCGGTCTGTCACTCCAGTCCAATCGACGACTCTTACGAGGTGTGTTGACACAGCGAGACGGCACTGACCAGAGCAACAAGGGGAAAGTTCGACGACTCTTACGAGGTCGGTTGACAAAGAAAGACGACACTGACCGGAGGAACAAGGAAATAGTTCAGTACATCAAGCTGAAATTAGCAGATAATCTTCCTGCAGAGAGATCCATCAATCTGTTCTACTGTCTGAATGAACTGAACGACCAAACTCTGGTGAACGAGATTCAGACCCACCTTAGCAAAGGAAGTCTCTCATCTGGTGACCTTTCACCTGCCCAGTGGTCTGCTTTAGCCTTTGTGTTGTTGACATCAGAGGAAGAGCTGGAGGAGTTTGAGCTTCAGAAATTCAAGAAATCAGACGAGTGTCTCATTAGATTATCAGCAGTCATCAAAACCTCCAGAAGAGCACTGTAAGTCTTTTAATATATTTTGTCATGTTTAGCTCTCATCTGAAAAATGCATTTATCTCAATATTGATTCCCCGTCATAAACATGAAGCTATCTGCGTGTGTGTGTGTGTGTGTGTGTGTGTGTGTGTGGAGACAGTTTATCACAATTTAAGACAAAATATTAAATATCTTGTAAAAATGTTGCATGATTGTTTTGTATCATATGATACACCAGACTTGTATGACTTATTATATAGATATATTTTATCACATACTCATACTTGAGGTAGAAAAAAATCCGTATTTTATTCATATACCCAAACTGGGGGGAAATAATGTAATTTGGTACAGAATAGATGTTATTTATATTTCCAAAATGTAATATGAAATTTTGAAAGGTTATAGATAAAACATTGAGATTTTTATAAAACAGGCTACTAAAATAAAATACCTACATCTCACCACATCATATACTAGTTGTCCCTCAGTTTCTCCCAGTAATTATATATTTAAATGCTTATTTCTTTGAGTAATTCTGTAGTTTATAGGGTTAGTTCGGTATTTTACACTTAAAGCTGCAATACCTAAGATTTAGATGCCGCTAGAGGGCGCTACATTCAAAACAACAACAATGGCTTTGCTTGATGACGACGTGGAGAAACGCGGAATGATGGGAACTCTTATCTATAAGTGTACACATACCGGCGGCGCAATTCGGCGTCTGTCCGCGGCGCCCAGCAACGCCTCAGGACCGTGTTCAAAATCCTGCTGCGCCACAGAGCGCCATTTTACACAGTTTTAAATAAAATTTTAATTATTTTTGTCTCAAACCGTTGCTAATGGATCCTGACTTTGCCCTATGCTGCGATATACATTTAGTTTTGCAGTGATTTACAGAAATCAGCTGCTTGAATGACAATGGCTGATGTTATTATTAGATTTTTCAGATGAGATTCTCAATTCATTCAGTGAACGGATGATCTGAGGTAAAGTTTTCAGAATGCAGACTCAGCAACGATTGTATTTAATTGTACAGTACAATCATAACATAGAACAGACATAGAACAGACATTATCTTCATTTTCTGTCATTAAACATAACAATATTGCTGGCCATACACTGATGAGAAAGTGCGCGTCCGGTGTGCGATACTGTGGAGTTGTCCTAAACGTGGCGCGGCGCTTCTCATCCAGTGTGCGACCCCCTTTACAGCCAACAGTTCACATCCCGAGAATAAATGAAAAGAATAATTGTGCTCCATTCCATAACAAATGCGCGAAACAAGCTGTCGTTTGATAGACGCTAACGCACAACTACCGCATTTGTCCAGGACTACACGTAGTACGAGCGGAAACCGAGGTAAGCGGATATGACGCGATTGACTCGCTACTCCCAGCTCACCCTGCTCATACGCCCCGTTTCCTTGGTTAAAATCTCAATTTTCTCGCGATTTAAACATTGTTTGAAACATTTGGAATATTGTGAGTTATCATCATAACTAAATATATAACACTAGCCTTGTGATTTTGGGATATTTTCATGCAAAAAACATAGGTATTCCACTAGGGCTGGGCGATATATCGAACGATATTGAATGCGCATCTAATCAGTAAAGCCGGTTCCTTGATTAGTAGTAAATCACCTTCACCTGCTTTCAGATGGAGCGGCATTCACTACAAAGAGCCGTAGATCACTGACAAGCTGAGCCAAATCGCGTTAATATCGAGGACATATCGATATCGATATTTAATGCGATATGGCTCAGCTGGTCAGTGAACTACGGCTCTTCGTCACGACAAAATCTCCCGTGTTAAATTAACACACCTGGGAGTGTATATGAGTCCACACTCAAGAGTGTTAAAGTTAATGAGATAATTAAGTGATTAAATGAGTGATGATTGAGCATTATTGAAGACACCTAAAGCAGAATCACAAGGAAAAAATCTAAAATTTTAAGCCACCGTTATGGAGATGAGTGTTTGCTTTAGTTGGGGTCTTCACCCTTATATTATTAACTTTATATTTTAATTTGCTGTTGCATCTGAGTTATATCTATCAGATGAACAAAAATAAACAATAATAAAATGATGTTGGTCATATAATGACATTTATCATTTGAAATTTATGTAATTATATATATATATATATATATATATATATATATATACACATATATATACATATATATATATATATATATATACATATATATATATATATACATATATATATATATACATATATATATATATATATACACATATATATATATACATACACATATATATATATACATACATATACATATATATATATGATAAAGTTTATTTATAAAATGTATAACATATAATTTATTCTGTTGCTTAGTGTATGACTAAGATTCTGAATAAATGTCCAGAATGTTAAAAATAATAGACAGTTTTCTCAAAAGTTGCTTAAAAGAAAAAAACCCTTCCTTTAGGCACACACAGACCTCAAGATTCAGTCAATGCTTCTCAACAACGGTGACGAGTAGAATATTCAAGGAGGAAAAGTAAATTACATAGACAATTCAGATCATAATTTATTCAAACCGCAATGCATGATGGGAGCCATTAATGAGTTGTGATTGGTGGCAACAAGGATTAATTTCGCCACCACAGTTGAGATAGACAGGCTGATTATTGATCTCTGTGTTTCTAAATAAGCATGAAAGTGATTTGATCAGAATAGTATTTATTCACTAATTTATGTTAAAAGAAAAATACAGATATGCAGTGCAATCACTAAAATCTTGCTAACAAGTTAAACCAAATCATCTGAAAAGGTTCATTTCACAGATCACAGCATGATTATGTCAAAACATAACCAACACTATAAGATCAAATATGTCTTATTTGACTGCTATTAATCAATAACAGCAGACACACAACATTTAAACTAAGTGAAAGTGTAAGTGTCAAGAGCCCAACTAAATCAGACACTGATCTCCATAACGGTGGCTTACAATTTGTGATTTTGTCCTTCAGCGATTCTGCTTGTGATCATCAGGTGTCTTCAATAATGCTCAATCATCACTAAATTAATCACTTAATTATCTCATTAACTTTAGCACTCATATCGTCCATTTGAAAGCATGTGAAGGTGATTTACTGCTAATCAAGGAACCGGCTTTACAGATTAGATGCGCATAACAATATCGTGCGATATATCGCCCAGCCCTATATTCCACCTTTAAAGCCCTGTTTTAATATCGTTTCTGATGAAATAGAACGGTTAAGATTGAAATTTGGACAAATGCTGCTGTGCCGAGAATTTTAGGTTTGTGTGTTAGCACCCCCCACCAACACAATGGTTGTCTATGTGCACTGGAATAATCATTCATAAAACGCATTAAACTTTAGTTTACGAAGACGTGAAACTCATCGAGGGGTCTGGGGTGTTCACTGATATGCTCACACAAAAATCACTGCAAAAGATGCTTTCCAACAGGTTTTATTGTAGTTTTTGCAAAAACAGTATTGCAGTAGACATACAATTTAAAAGAAAAGAAACACAACAAATTAAATGTATTTTGCTATTACATTATATCTTCATACAAAAATAAAAACTTTTGCAACTAAAAAGTGCAAAATGCCAAGCTTTGGCCAGCTTTCAAATACATTTAATTTAAGTTTAAAATAAAACTTAAATAAACAGCTTTTATATTTAGCTTTAAAGTGCTGTAGTCAGATCAAACAAACAATCATGCTAAATGAAGAACTTAACCACCAGTCAACCTGGTACTTCATACTCTTGTGGTGCGCGCACAGTCTTCACTCGGACGCACTCTTCAATCTATCGCCGATGAAATCACAAAATAAAATGCACACAAACGTGTCCCTGCTTGATATAGACTGTAACCACTGATGAACATATTCGGTTTTGATGAGAGAGAGGAAAAAACTATATGAGTGCAGATTATAACCTGCAACTTCTGACACGCTTGGCAAAAGATCTAGCACTAGACCATTTAAGAACTCAAACAAAATATGCGGATCGACGCATTCATTTAGGGGTTGAGCAGAGAGGCTGCACAGTTTGACCAGCGGGCAGCGGCCGCACACCAGTCCCCCGGATGCTGTTGCTAAGAACTTACAATTTATCACTATTATCAGACCGGCCCTCGCGGCCTCGAAACACTACGACTCTCCCGATTGCCACTCCGCCCCTGCACGCCATTACAAAATATAATATGGTGGGCCGTTATCGGCGTTAACTTGCTGCGTTAAAGTGAGACTCTTATCGAGCGATAAAAAAATATTGTCGTTAATCTATTCTCAAAGTTGGGTAGGGAGCTGGGTCCATACTATACAAGCTATGATGACTTTTACATTGATATTTTAGCGCAGATGTATACCTAGCCGAATTGCACTGTAAGGGGCATTTAATACCAATCTGTTTATCCAGACATTAGGAAAAGATCAGTCAATGCATTTTATATTTAATATGAGGGAAATACACATCTGTAACGGACGTGACACACACACACACAAAAAAAAAAACCTTTAGGTGTACAAAAAGTAATAATACCCATCAGTTGAAGAAAGGTTGGCTCTCCACAGAACATAAAATATTAATTTTGTATTATTTTTTATGTACGCATTTATGAGGGAAAAACGATGTTATGTGACAGTTCCCCATTACAGACTTGACCACTCTGAAAGCGGCACTGAAAGACTGCTTTAAAACTTTCACATTAAACATAGAGCACAAAGCCTTTCATTAAGTTGAATTTCGTTTTGTATTAATTGTATGTTAATTTTAATCAATGTTTCATCAACCAATTGCCTGGATTTAATAAATAAGAACTAAATATAGCAGACAATAGATAATCACGACACAGAGGCGTCAGCGAGTGAACTGATCTTGTCTTGTGAATCATAAATGAACCAAAACACAGCGTATAAGGCAGGCCAACTTGCCTCAGGAGTGCAGTGGGTGCCATGAGGTGTGACTGTATAATGTAGAGAATAATTACGAAAATGGAGAGAAAATATAAATCGGGCGCATTAAAAGGAAAAGAACGAGATAGTCTTTGTGTTTTACTTAACATAAGCTTACTTGGCTCAACAAGTGACACATTATTACATATGCATTCATCAGATATCTATATTTTTTATGGTTTTAATTTTAAAATGACTTGGTAGCAGAGAGCCCCATGATGAAGAGTCTAGCTCCGCCTCTGCTCATCTTACAAACTAATTGTAAGGTTATTTTTTTAGGTAGCATACATATTCTGAATGCCTTCAATGCCTGAATGCCTTCATGAATTCAAATGAGCCATTTTAATCTAGATTAATTCCAAGATTACTGTGAGATTAATCTAGATAAAAAAAAAAATCTATGCCCACCACTAAGGCATAAAAAAAAAAAAAATAAAAAAAAAGTTCAATTCCAGTCTCCGACCGACCCTGTCAATTTATGTGTGACCCAAATTTATTTTATGAGCTTGGGGAAGAAATAATACACATTTAAAATCAGCTTGTGTGTGTGTAACATGCTGGGACACACAAGGTGGTAGAGTACATGTACAGGTAGGCTACTGTATGTTATTGAAAAACAGAGTCGCCTATCCATCGCTACTGTAAAGCAAAATTTAAAAAAAAAAAATTAAAATAATTTCCTTTCTATCCCTTGCTGCCACTGGAGAAAAAAACAAAAAAAAACTACCAACCCATGACCTCAACTGACATCCAACCGTAACCAAACTTTTAAAAAAAAAATGTTATGCCTAATATATATATATATATATATATATATATATGAATCTTTTTTTTTTAATTCTATTAATCGATTTTCAATCGGTAAAGCTTGAATTGCGATACAAATGTGAATCAGTTTTTGTGCACACCCCTAATATTAAGTGTCCCCAATTAAGAAAGACAGAGGCAACACTGGCAAGAACCTAAACTCTATCAGGTGACATAAATAGAGAAAATATCCTATAGATATAACAGCTTTACACAAATATTTTTTCAAACATGCTTCAATTTGTCTTGGAAATTTGTCACTGTATAAAAAACACTATTGATGAGGAAATTGTAGTTTTTAAAGGTAAATGTTAGTTTAACTCGGCCTCTGCTGTTTATGTATTAAATAAGTGGAAAATTTCATTAATATTAGTATATAGAAAATGTATTGTATGTGTTCAATCTAATTCTGTGTTGTGACTTTATTGTAGGTTAAATGATTGTAACTTAACAGACAAAAGCTGTTCAGCTCTGGCTGCAGTTCTTGGATCAGATACCAATCTGAAAGAGCTGAACATGAACAATAATAATCTGCGGGATTCAGGAGTGAAGCTGCTCTGCACTGGACTGAAGAATATAAAGTGTAAATTGGAGATACTGAGGTAAGTTGAGCCACAGGAGTCACATGACTAGAGTGAGGTGCGATGACTGACAGGGCGATATCGGAGGCAAAAGCGCAAGATAACTTTTGTGAAAAAGATCTTTTATTTATTTGTTACAACGTGGGTATACCATATTAATCCTGTCATTGTGCTATTTTATTGTTGTTGTGTATAAAGGATTATTATGCTCTTAGGGCTAATTAATACCCGGTGGCAACCACCAAAGATTGTCTGATCAGAACAGTAAAGGGTGCCCGTTTAGGAGGAGCCAGATGCACACACCACTCACAGACCACCAGGGCTGGATTAACCATTAGGGCAACTGGGCTCTTGCCTCAGGGGCCCATGACATCTAAGGGGCCCTGGGCACCAGGGGCGGAGTGGCAATCGGGAGAATCGGGAATTTCCCCTGTGGGCCGGTTGTGTTTCGAGGCCGCGAGGGCCGATCTGATCAAATTTATTTATTGCAAGTTGGCCATGCGCACTTGGGGCCCAAGTGAGGGGAAGAATTTTTTTTTTTTACTTTTTAGATAACGGAGCATATATTTGGACTAAGTGCCTGTTTTTAGCAAAAGAAGCTTGTCACGAAGTAGCTACGGTGGCGCAGGTCGTAGGGCTTGAAGCTTTTGATGCTCTCGACCCGAGTTCGAAACCGTCTTTTTCTGAACTCTCTCTTCTCCCTTTTCCCAACACATATGAGATGTAAAATGTCTCTAGCGCTATATTTTGCCAACAAACTAAAATCGAAACCATGATATGGCTTTGTGCTTTTATAAAACAGCACAAGACTTTAAACGGTTAGTTCACCCAAAAATGAAAATTAAGTCTTTAATTACTCACCCCCATCCTGTACCAACCCTGTAAGACCTTCGTTCATCTTCGGAACACAAATAAAGATATTTTTGATTAAATCTGAGAGCTGGATCACTCCTTCATAGACTGCCTAAGGGACTGGCTCTTGACGGCCCATAAAGTCATTAAAGTTTCAATTATAAGTTTATCAAGCGACGAGACTACTTTTTCTGCGAAAAAAACATAAATAACGACTTTATTCGACTATTCCATTACTTCCTTATGGGCGCATGCGCGAGAACTGAGACGAGGACGTTCTCCTTCGACTACTTCTTGTTACCAGCTGCTCACGCCCCCACCAGGGGAGAAAAACAATCCAACCATCTCCATTGATTTGCATTGGGAGAGGCTGCCTCCTTGTCATTTATGACTTATAACAAAAAACAAAACAATGTTTAAAAGCTGTTGTGAGACAAGGAGTACAGCAAACAAGACAAATAATGCAGAAATTGTTTTTTTTTTAAGCTGATGGCTACTACTCTGAGAAGCACGCCCATAATTCATAATTTAACCTGAATCTATTTTATCTGAAATTCTGTACGTTGATTTATTTTATTTTTTTGTATCTGAATTTGTGAGCATTGAAAAATATTCATCGAAATTCAGGTTTTTAAAATGGAAATTTTCATAGGCCTGTTTAAAGGTGCAGTGTGGGATTTTTAGCGACATCTAGCGGTTCGGTTGCGAGTTTGCACCAGGTTTGCACTAAGCGCTCAGCCCACTGCTCACCCCTCCCTTTCGAAGAAGCCATTGTTTCTGTACCACAGTCCAGTATAAACCACATCATGGATACAGTTTACAAAGCCATAGTCAGGTGAGGATCAAGGGTTTTAATTTAATATAATAATAGTGATCAGCTGATTGTCTCACAAACGTAACCAGCAGCACATTTCTCCCCACATAGCAAAACCATAATACAGCGAGGGAGAAGAACCACATGAAACTATGCAGCTATATATGTTTTCTAACAGGGTAGTAAAAGTTTAGCTGGCTAATATGAGCTGTTACTGTGGCTGAACTGGTTAAAGCATAAAGCCTTGTTTACACTCGACGCGTCCGCATGAGCCCAAAGGTGCGCGCGGCAAAAATGACATGATTGTAACAGCGTGCGCATTTCCGCATCCCATAGACACCATAAACTACACACAATAGGCTTTTTCTCTGATTTTGAAAACTCTTCGCGATCGACTTAGATCTCTTACAAGATCGACGGGTTAGTGATTCCTGTAACATACTGTTTTACGATCAATGTAGGGCTGCAACAACTAATCGATAAAATCGATTATAATCGATTATGAAAATCGTTGTCAACAAATGTCATTATCGATTAGTTGGTCTGATTACGTCACGGGGATTGTTTACATGCTACATGTGCTTCTTACATGCGTCTTCATGAGGGACACACGCAGTCTCTCTCCCTCGCCGCTCTACCCTGTCTTGCGCGCGCAACACGGACGGTTTGGAGCACATTAGCTTCTGTCTCGCATGCGCACTCTTGATTCCGTGAGTGTGAACTAATTTGCGGGCATCAGGAAACCGCTATCAATATGCAGCATACACGAAAATCATTCACCTTTCGGCAAATTCGCCGTTTTGAAACCAAAATAGGTGAGCTATTAATCGTGTATACTTTATGAAGCCATACTATAGTATAATGTGAGATAGAAATGTATATTTAAGTCATTAAATTCAAGTTAACCTAAGCTTTTCCCTCCACTGCGGCTGTCAGTCATTCTTTATTCGCGTCGCGTTACAACAGTTAACATGATGAAACTCTTTCCAAGATGATTCAATGTTATTATTATAATTGATCCGTAGATAAAGGTCTATGATGGTTTCTAATTCTATCTTGCTAGACTTTTATTGTAATTTAATCACTTTCTACTGAGTGTCTGTTAGCTCACAACACTAGAGTAGAGTCGGCGCACTATAATTGTTCTTCACGTGCACAGTAGCCTAACCTCGAAATTTAAAACTGTTAAAAGAAAAGGCTTAATAAACTATTGCAAAGATACTGTATAATACACAGTCTTGGTGCTTTTAACTTTAATGCGGCGGACACTGAAGAGCTGCGCGCCGCCCTGTGACTCCGTGTTGCTTCAAGTGCATCATTCAGCGCTCACGATGCGCATAAGCACTTTGTGCAGCTCTTTCATGATCATGTCATAATACTTTTGCGCAATGAAAGCTTATTAATACTTAGCCTTTCTTGTTCTGTCCTATCTATTATATTTTGCTTCTTCACTAAACAGCTGTGCTTTACATTTAAAACAGCTGTGCATCTGATTTTTAAGATGTTTTTCATGAATGTATAACAACAATACAAAGAGCAATGTGTAACGTTTTATCAGAGTTAGTGCTACACTTATTGTCTCTTATTTTGTTCCCCACTAAGGAATGTTTTTTTCACTAAATGTTCAGATTTTATTAAATTATTGTGCACTTGTGATATTTCTAGGCTAAGTTTTGCTCAGTTATCCACTAATCTATTTTACAATAGCATTTTTGTCATAGGTTATGTTCATATATATTTTTTTTATTTGTTGTTTTTCTTTATAATGAAGTTGTCTGTATTAAGTAGATTGTTTAACACACAAAAGAGTGTGGTTTTTAGGGTTTTATTTAGTTATAATAAACAAAAAAAATTAAATATATTTTTTTTTATCCGATTAATCGAAAAAATAATCGTCCGATTAATCGATTATCAAAATAATCGTTAGTTGCAGCCCTAGATCAATGACATGAGTACTAATCAGCTGTCTTATGAACATAACAGCACATTTATCCCCACATAACAAACCCATAACACAGCGAGGGAGAACTAAGTTACATGAAACAATCCCAGTTACATATTTTACACTACTCACAAGGGAAAAGTCACTACTCACAGAGTTTATGGCTAGTTTCTAGCTTTCTGCTGCCTCTCTTTCAAGGTAGTGGCGAAACGCGTTCTGTAGCACTGTTTGTTCGCGTTCGGCTACGGTAGAAAGATGACGTCATGATATGGCGACCTTCATAGAAGGGGATTCCCGCGGTTATGGAGATATAAATGTCTCTCTCTAAGGTAATAAAAACATTACGGTTTATTAAGTAAGTTCTTTATACACCACTGAAAACATAGTTATGGATGTCATATTGCATTTCTGTTACAGTTTTTCTCAATTGTTTACACACAAATTCTGGTACTTGAGACACAATGACCACAACATGTAACTCATTCACTAACCCCCTGAACCAATTCTGATGAACAACAAGCACAATTCCTGCTTTACACTCAAATTGCAGCTCTAAAACACACTTTTTTCAAAACACTACACACAAATTCTCTGCTTTTGGCACAATTTTCATGCAGAAAATCTTTTCTTTTCACGAGGAACACACTACCATTCAAATATTCACACTGACTCGTCACATGGACAAACACACGTCACACAGTTTTACAATTAGCAATCAGAGCTTTAGCATAAAATACCAAAACCGAAGAGAGGATGCAGCATAGATTTTTACTGTAACAGCATACACATTTTTTTCTGTTGTTTTGTATGTAGACCACTGTATGTGCAACTTTGTGTTGATTGGGGAGTATGAAATGTGCGATCTATTTCCCATTGTTTTTGTGGGAAAAATACAGTAAAATATATTTGTTACCGTGTATTTCTGGGTATAAAAACAATATTCTCAAATATTTTACAACACAGTTATGTATGTAATATCTGTAGTAAGTGTAACCCTGAACAAAAAAGGCCTAATTCATTATGATCAATGGAGAAGAAGTGTTTTACATTGATCGTAGTGTTTTACATTGAGCACATCAGTGTTCAACTGGTTCTTATAAATGTCTATGATGGTTTGTGTGTGTCATTTGAAAACAAAATAACATTTTGAGAATATATAACATTGTTTTGAATGTAAAGTTTCATTTTGCACTTGAATTGAGGGGTTTTGCCGGTTGTGTGTGTGTTTTTAGATTTGTGTGCAGAGTTCTGAGAGTATGAGGCATACTTGCAGGAAATGTGTGTAAACAATCGAGAAAAACTGTAATAGATACTCAACTTTTAAAATTGCACCTTTAAATTTCAGCGGTAATTTCGAAACAAATAAATTCAGACGCATGGTTTCCAAAGTAAAATAATTTCAAAGGGCTGAATTCTGAGCAAATAAATTCAGACAAATGTTTTTCAAAATAAAATTGAATACAAAACTAGTATTCAAAACTAGTAAAAGTATTCAGTGGCTGTTAAATTTCAAATAGTTATGTCTCTCATTTGCTTCCATACTTTTACAATACTGTATGACAATCGCGGGATAAGAGGCAAAGATAATCGTTAGTGTGTGTGTGTGTGTGTGTGTGAGAGAGAGAGAGAGAGAGAGAGAGAGAGAGTGTTAGTGTGAGAGAGTGTGTTAGTGTGTGTGTGAGAAAGAGAGAGAGGAGAGTGTGTTAGTGTGAGAGAGAGAAACTGTTTTTGACACTTAAAGCAATTTATTCCATCATTAAAGTTAAAAAAAAATTTCCGTCACAAATCAAAATTAAGTCTCATAAGACACTTGAGTAAAGGCTCGTGTGTTTTGTGTCTAATCAATCTTTCCCACACACATATAAATTATAACTCGTACTCATCCCTCTGTCCATTTCAGCAAATGACGTTTTGTGAAGGCCTCTCCTGTTGTTTTGGTGCTTTTCAACATGCGCGTGCACCCCCTGCTGGTAAAGCCGTCTAACAGCAGATAGAGAGTATGATCAGTAATCTACTGCTTTTCCTGCAGTTTCTGGATGTCACCGTTGAATTTACTGTCGAATTTGAACCACTGAATTTGTGGAAGCGAATTTTCAAGGCGAAATAAAATGGACCGAAAATTGTCTGTTGAATATTATAGGTTGTATTTTTAAACAGTTTGAAAATTTTGGAAGTGAAATATGAAAGGTGAATGTGGATTATTGAATTTTTAATAATGAAAAATATTTTTAATTGAAATATTCACAGCTTAAATATTCAACCATGTTGAATTTCAGCCCATAAAAATGTAAGCCTTAAAAATACAATGGATTAAAATGCAAGCAGGGTTAATGCAATGCTTTTTTTTTTTTAATTGGTGCAATTCAACATGCTTTTTGTTTCAAAAACATTAGACATTATTTTACTTCCATACACTTCCACCTCACATTCAGCCAATCACACGCTCCGAAGGCACACTTCTACCTCAGAGACTGTATGTATATACATGCATACAAGAATCAAAAGTTTAAACTAAAACACTCAATATTCATTTATTCACTCAATATATCAGTATATATTTATGCGCAATATCTCACAGAGTCTAATTTCACAATTTAATTTCTGCAAACATTTTCACTTCAGTATTTTGTGATCTGATGAAGATGAAGATCTCTCCTCCTCTGTTTTATTTGCTGATGAAGATGATGTGACTTTACAGAATAAAGAGTCTCTAATTTTCTTCATTCTCTCTCTCTCTCTCTCTCTCTCTCTCTCTCTCTCTCTCTCTCTCTCTCTCTCTCTCTCTCTCTCTCTCTCTCTCTCTCTCTCTCTCTCTCTGCTAATGTAGGTTAAGCTGCTGTGATATGACAGATGAAGGTTGTTCTGATGTGACTTCAGCTCTGAAATCAAACCCGTCACACCTGAGAGAGCTGGACCTGAGCGGGAATAAACTAGGAGACCCTGGAGTGAAAAACCTCAGTGATCTACTGATGAACCCACAATTCAAGCTGGAGAAACTACAGTTAGTGTCATTATACTGTACAGCAATTACAGTGTGACTGAAGTTTATTTATTTGAAGACAGCATGGCTTATGTTTCATTGGTTATAGCAGTGCACTTTCTGATTGTTTACTTATTGCTCACATTTTTTTTATAGTTCTTTATCTTTTCACAGTTTTTTATCTAGTTAGTAGCAGGGATGTGATTTTTCCGGATTAATCCGGAATTCCGGATTTTCCGACCTGAAAATGTGACCTACGTGAATGAATCATGCAGATCTGTAAAAAAAAAAAAAAGGGGGACGGGTGTCGGCAGCCGGAGTGAAAAAAAGAGAATATGAGGACATAACCCATAACTGGCTGACGTACTTTGTCACGAAATTGAGTTTTTAAAAGTAAAAGGGTCAGAGAGATACTTAGGCCTATTTAGTAAATCATTTTGAACAGCTCTCATATTAACAACTATCCAAACTGTTATAGACCTAAAATAGCTTTTGTAGCCCTATGTCACTTTTAAAATGTCAGAGAAAAGGACAGAATCAGAGATTATTTAGAAAATAGAAAATTGTACTTTGCATATTATAGGCTACTGTAAAAACACATAAAGTTGATCATGATGTAAATTATTTTCATTTCATGAATAAAGACCAACATGATCACACAGAATCTTGTTCAAAAAGCCTAAATCAATTCACCAAGTTAATAACATTAAAGATTTGTTTTAAAGGAGTGTCTTATCTTACCTACTAAACTTAAAAAAAGGTTAACACTAAAAAAGACTTTATAAAAATATAAACCTCATATTTCAGCATTCAATCATCTCTATAAAAAGAATGAGTCAATAAATATACATTACTGAAATTTATAATGCACAGTAGCTTATCTTTTATTATTAATAGTAAAATTCGGCCTGATTTTCCCATGGCTGTCGTTGCTATACATCCATTACACTGCGCTCTCCACAATGACAAAGAAGTTTTAGTAGCTAATGTATTTCCACCACAGAAAAACGCTTGCTGAAGCTCTGCTAAAAGATTTATTTACGGAGAAGAGAAAAACCACCCAAGTGTTTGAGTGCACGTGCACTCCCATACTGAAAAGTTTATGAGGGCGCCTCCCGCGAGCGCATAATGAGCGCGCTTCCCGTGCGCTTAATCGCCTATTTGAAATAACGACCTCGAGCGCGCAAAAGACGCGATACGTGAACTAATCAAGAGACCCCCTTGACATCTCTTCTGTTCTGCGCACGGCACCTTCTCAGCAAGTAGGGGCGCCATTGCCAAACTGAATCGAAATGATAAAAAATAGAAAACCTTCGCGGCACAGAGGATTTTTTTAACTCCTCGTGCCGCCCCCCATGTGACATGAAGAGATGCCGCCCTGGTTGACTGCCCGGTTCGCCCGTGGCCGTGCCTAGAACCGCTATCTTACTGTCAACAAGGACGTATTTGCGTTCAGCCAGAGAATGTCTAATTGGTTCAGCTTGTTCACCTGCTCAATTTTGTATCTCAGTCGCTCTCGCGCTGGTATCGTTGTCAGTTTTTAGAACATCACAGTTAGGTCACCAGGGCTGGGCGATATATAGATATTTTTCAAATTTGCGCTATGATCCTTGCTCCAAGCAAGCTGCTGACTGCTTTTGTAGAAATATGTAGCAGCTATATCGTGCTTTCAGTCAGTTGCAGTCCTGACACCTCCGTCTCAACAGCATTAGTGTACAACTCGACAAATACTCGCAATATTAACGCAGAGGAACGGCTACATCAGTTCAGCGAGTTCACAAAAGTTAATTTGCATGTGCTTTAAAGCCTTGCCGGTAAAACATGTCATTCACTGCTAATGCGCTGTTCTGAGCGCGAACACCCGACGCGCACATGCACTAAAAGCTTGTCTAACAGCGCCTGGTTGCTGGACTAAGTTATCTTTCGAGTATTATTTCGCTAATTATTACACACAAGCTTTACATAAGAACATTTGGTTATATCTAAAATTAATTCAAAGCAAACCGAGAAAATTGAGAGAAATCTGCTTGTCAAATGCTCCGTGTATATTAGACGTGTCGCGTACAGGTCTTAAAGTGACAGTAGCCCTAATCATAAAAACGCAGCCGCTTGTTCTTAAAGGGATAGTTGACTTCAAAATATAAATTCTGTCATTATTTATTCACTGTAATGTTGTTCCAAACCTGTATTAATTTATTTCTTGTGCTGAACAAAAAAAAAAATATATATATATATATATATTTTTTTTTTTGATGAATGTGGGTAACCAGATAGTTGCTGGTCCCCATTGACTTCCATAGGGAAAAATTTACTATGGAAATCACTGGGGTACATCAACTGTTTGGTTACCCACATTCTTCCAAATAACTTAAACAGAAGAAAGAAACTTGCAGGTTTAAAACAACTTGAGAGAGTAAATGGTGACAATTACAATTTGTGGGAGAACTATCTATTTAATGTTAATTAAACAACAAAACACAGAGGAAATCACTCACTGCTCTTGACTGAGAACTTTAATAGTACCTTTAATAAGAATCAATGTATAATTTATACAGTGAAGACTCTATTTGACTTTGATTGAACATTTGCTCTCCCTTTGCGGAAAAGATATTGGGATATATATCGAATGGGGGGGGGGGGGTATTTCCTGCTTTTTTGTCCTTAGCCGATCACATGCCTGTAGTAGAGTGTAGTTTAGTATTTTTTTTAATTCCCAGCATCTGATACAATGTACTGATTGTGTACACACAGAAATCTGCCTTTTCAACAGAGAATAAAGAAGAGAGACGTCAAATAAATAGTTAGAAATGAAAGAGAAGAAACAGTGTCTTCCAGCTCACAGAACTAGTGTGACTGGGTTTTAAAACAGACTATTGGAAACTAAATGCTGCTGTAGCTCTTCAATAAGATGATCATCATAGATGTGAACTATTGTTATTTCTCTGTCTTCAGTCTGTGGAGTTGCAGTATTACAGAGAAACAGAGTCTCATCCTGACTTCAGCTCTGAAATCAAACCCGTCACACCTGAGAGAGCTGGACCTGAGCGAGAATAAACTAGGAAACACAGGAGTGAAGAACTTATGTGCCGTACTGAAGGATTCACACTGTAAACTGGAGAGATTGAGGTCAGTCACATTCACATACAAGAATCAAAATGCTTAAAATCACTTCAACCGTTTAAACTTGAACACATTAACATTATATTTGAACACACATTTTCACCTTATTATTTTGTCATCTGGTGAAATAAAGATGAAGATCTCTCTTCCTCTGTTTTATTTGCTGATGAAGATGATGTGGCTTTACAGAATAAAGAGTCTCTTATTTTCTTCATTCTCTCTCTCTCTCTCTCTCTCTCTCTCTCTCTCTCTCTCTCTCTCTCTCTCTCTCTCTCTCTTGGTGCATGCTGGGAGTTTTTGGGTGCGTGTGAGGGTTCACACGAGGGGAGGGTGATCGTTTGCTTGTTTCAAACTTTCTTTAATTTTTCAAGTTTCCTGAGAATACATTTTTGCTGTGATACGAGTTTTTTTTGAAGATTAGTTAGGAAACGGGATGGCGTCCCAGACGCCACCTGTCTCCTTACGCCATGGAGTCAGGTGTGTGACGGCGAACGGGGTGAATGTGGAGGAAGTGTTACTTGCAGTTGGACAGGAGATCGGCTATCAAAACATTTCATCTGCCTCGCGAATGAATAAAGCGGTGGTTGTGTTTTTGAAAGAAGAGAACCATGTGAATCATCTTATAAGCAGCGGGATAGTGGTAAGTGGAGACTTTGTTACTGTTTTGCCGCTGGTTGCTCCAACTATTAAGGTGACTGTGTCAAACGTGCCGCCGTTCATCCAGAGTAATGAGATAGAACGAGAGCTTTTGCGATATGGTAAGTTAGCTAGCGCAATTAAAACTGTTCCTCTTGGATGTAGAAATGAAGCGCTAAAGCATGTAATGTCGTTTAGAAGACAGGTTTTTATGTTCCTGAATGAACAGGCGTTAGACGTGTCTTTTAAAGTTTGGCATGAAGGAAGAGCGTACATGGTTTATGCAAATACTGGGAATATGAAGTGTTTTGAGTGTGGAGATGTCGGGCATAAGCGTTTAGCATGCCCACATAAAGCACAAGCTGATGAAGAAGCCGCTAGACACGCTGGGGAGGCCGTTGGTCCTGTGAATGATCCTGAGAAAGTGCAGTCTGTAGAGGAGGAAGAGGATGAGTCTCAGGGAGCTGAGGAAGCTGTTGTTGTAGAGGAAGATGTGCCTCAGGGAGCTGAGGAAGCTGTTGTTGTAGAGGAAGATGAGCCTCAGGGAGCTGAGGAAGCTGTTGTTGTAGAGGAAGATGAGCCTCAGGGAGCTGAGGAAACTGTTGTTGTAGAGGAAGATGTGCCTCAGGGAGCTGAGGAAACTGTTGAATTAAATGAAGAAAATGATAACAAAACTGAGGAAAGTGGGATTGTGAATATGAGTGAAGATAGGGAAACAGTTGCAAGTAATGGAGCAAATGGTGTCGGAAGAGAGAATGCTGGTGATGCAGAAATGAGAGATGAAGATGCGTTTTCTGAAGTTTCAGAAATTGGGTCACAAGTGATTGAAGACACGTATTCTTTAGAGGAAATTAATGAGTTTCTGGATACAACATTTGGTAAAGTTGTAGAAGTAGAAGATTTTTTTCCAGATGTGGACAAATTTATAATATCAGTGTTGTTCCTGCAAAAAACAGTGAGCTATGAAGTTTTGGATAAAAAGAAAAGATTCAGGCTGAAAAAGATGGTAACGAAGTTGAGGAGAAGGAAGGGGAAAGTTTAGAGAACAGCTTGGATATGAATAAATCACGGGTGGTGTTCTTTACTCTGTGCTCTTTCTTTTTAGTTTCTGTCTTTTTCTTATTTCTCTATATGAATGTGTGGAGAGT